GTTTCATCACGGTGAGTAAAAGCAAAAGAATTTTCAAGCGAGTGATTTCTTAAGAAAATCCAACTTTAAAGGACCACATATTAAATATCTGTTTTCAAGGGTCCCATCAAGTTCTTTTTTTGCTTTTTCTTTTCAGGGGCTTCTTTACTGGCACATCCCTTAGCTTAATGAACTAATTTTCTGCGGGAAATATAAACTAATTACCAACACTCTTGTTTCTGTTATGTATTCTGAATCTTTTCAACCCGGTTCATCGGTTAAAAACTTAATGGGTATGTGGGACGTTATGCGAATAAATTCCATCATAAAAAGTGGATGGTAACAAATGACCAACGTGTTTAAGAAACTGTAAGGACACCAGTAAGCGAAACTGAAGCTGCCTCATCTAAGTCACAATACTCCACTAGTACATTGGTATATGTTGTGGAAGTGTTTAGGCAGTATTGAACATCAGAAAGTAGCTGTTATGGCATTGCAGGCAAATCAGTAGCGTTTACATGAGCCATGAGTTGAAAAATATTTGCATGAAATTATGAAAGCTCAAGAGTTTCATGACTTTACGACTTGCTGCAATATTGCAAAAGAGAAAGCTGTAGCTGTTCAGATTTTGTCCGTTCTAAAAAGCCGTACTGTTTTGCTTTTGAGAAATCTTTCGTTCCGAACGAAAAATGACGGATATAACAGCGCCTCTTATTGCGTCGATGCTTTTGAATTTCCCACGTTTGGTGTTACGCCAGCTGCAGCTGGCTAACTTCCAAATGCCCCTTTCTAGCGTTGTCCCTGGGCAGTGAGTAAGCGGTGGTAGTTAGGAAGTGCCTTGTTTCCTTGAAGGTTTCAATTTTTTTCTCGGGGTTGCGAGTTTTAATAAATAAATGTGTTGCCGTGTAATTCTGTTACCTTCTGGATACTTTCACAGTTGCTAACTGCACATAAGTCTAAGTTTAAAGTAGACAGACGTTTATTCATAAAGGTGCCTCAGTTTAGGGTCTTCAAAGGAAAAAAAAAAAACAGTTTTTAAGATAAAAGGATGGACTTCTGCATTCTTAAAGTAAGCACAGCAGATGAGAAAAACAAATGCGCACCTACCAATTGCAAAAATACTCATAAACCTTAGCCTTTTAGAACTTAGGGAAATTCGCTTCATATTGTAAAGCTGTCTTCAACTATTAATTATTCAGAGATTTACATTCAACAGATGCGTGTTTGCTTAGGTACCGCTGACGAAGCAGTTTTTGGAAAGTAATTATCCTCTTCTAAACTGCGTTTACATGAGATTTTTACTGAGCTGCATTTTTTTCGTTTTTTTTTTTTTTTTTTTTTTTTTTTTTT